ACACACACACACACACACACGCAAACACAAACCATCAACCGCCCCGCGTTTCAAAGGTCAATAAAAACTCACCTCCATCATCAGCATGTTGTCTCAGCTACTGATACTAAGACGGGTTCCCATGCCTAGATCGATCCATCTGGAATCAGTCTAACTCTCTGGGGAGTCTCACTAAATTGCTATCACCTAACATGCTTATATATCTGTCACACCTACCAAATCAGCTAGAGGGTAAAGATAATAACCCCCTAACAACTTTGCTAGGTGTGACAGACATTTAAGCCCGTTAGTTGACAACAATTTAGTGAGACTCCCTAGGGAGACAGATTGATCCAAATATCTGTGGGAATGGTCCCTAAATGTAGGTTTCCCCGTAACCTCTCAAGCTCGGGGTGTCATCAGATTACAGTGCTACTTAAGAGGATGTTAATAAATTACTGACAAAAAGCCACTTTAACACCACTTTTCTACCTACGCTATCACGCACTTAACTTTTTTTATNATTTGTTCCGTAACGACAAGATACATGGTGAGGGATAAGTAAGTTTATTAACAGTGTTAAGTGTTGTAAACGGTATATGCCTACTTAGTATGCGTATGGCATACTTGATTGTTTGTGGCTTGGCACATGGTTTTCTCAATGTTACTTATATAGTCCTTGTATCGTTATATCATGCTCAAGGTATATAATTAAGTTGTGCCGTTTTTGCTGTTAGCCATACGTGGATAATATAATGTTTAATGGCCGGGTTGGTCGATGAAACCGGTTGACCGGCATGTAGGGAGACAGTCTTTTACTATCCTGCTTTTCGTAGCAATGAGCTGTGTGAGGTTTTGAGCTATAGTATTGTCCTGGCATCGGCCCGAGTACCGAATACATTAGGTGGGTTAGAATCTTATATAGTTGGTGAAGGCTGAGGAGCGCCATCTTCCCAGTATGCGTATTTGTTCAGTGGACATGCCGCATTTTGCTGCGAGAGTGGCCCCTCCGATGCGGAAGCTGTGGGACTTTGTTAAGGTTGTATCCATCCCCGCGGCTTGGAGGCAATGTTTGAGAGTGTCCGTGAAGTGGTGTCTTGTGACTAGTGAGCCGTCTTGTTGCAGAAAGAGCTCACTGTGAGAGCTTTGTGGGCGCATGTGTAGGTAGGCGGCCAGGTGCTCTACTGGGCATATTGCTGGATTTTGTCTGAAGAGAGTTACTTGGTGGTTGGATGTGTTGGACGAGTGCTTGAAGGATGGTAAAGTGATGATAATGGTTCCTTTTTGGAGGTCCAGATTGACGTACTGTATGCGTATGGTGTGGTTGTTATCTTTGGAACCGCCGGTGATTTCGCTGATGCGGAAGAGGCCGAAGAAAGCTGTGGTGAACATGGCTCGAAAGAGACAGGCATGGTATTGTGAGAAGGGTTGCTGTGACGCTGTTTGTAAAAGATGGCGCAGTTGCTCCAAAGTGAGAGGGCGCCTATCGTCCATTGTTGGTTGGAGTCGGCTGAGGCCGCGTAGTGTCTGCCTGACGATGAATGAACTGGTAGGGTCATCATAGCCTCTAATTTTGTATTTGTAGCTAAGTGCCGACATTAGAGTTTTTATGGAAGAAGGCTTGTATTTTTTGGCCAAGCTTTGAGCGAAGAGAGCTGTAATTGACGGTGACGTGGGAAATGCAGGTTGGCCTATTTCTGCAGCAAACTGGTCCAGGAGAGGTTCGATTTTCATGTACGTCCTTTGGGTACTGGGGGCAAGTGCTGCTTTTAGTGTGTCGTTGAGCATTAGATGAAGGCGTTTGGTAGCCATTGGGCCGGGATCTGCGTGGGGTATGGCAGTGCCTGCGGGGAGGCTTGGTGGAACTTCTGTAAGTTAAGACGAGAGAGAGCGTCAGCAGATGTATTTTTGACACCTGGTATATGGACAGAGCGGAAGGCAATGTTGTGACGCATGGAGGTGAGGATCAGTTTCCTAAGTAATGTGAGAAGGAGTGGGTCGGTGGTGGAACATTTGTTGAGAATGTATACCAAGGCTTCGTTGTCGGAGTGAATAGTCACTTTTTTGTTGGTGAATTTCTTGCTCCAGACAAGGAACGCAGCGAGGATGGGGTAGAATTCTAGTGTGGTAATGTTCAGTTGTTTTTGCTGGGGCGTCCAAGGGCCGTAGAACCATTCGTTATCGCTGATTGCACCGTAGCCGAAGGTGGTGGATGAATCCGTGTAAAGTTGGAAGCTAGTGTTGCTGTCCCAACCCTCGCTGTGTATGAGAGCCTTGCCGTTGAAGTTGCGTAGGAAACCGTCCCACATGAGTAAGTCTGAGCGTGCCTCTTTGTTGAGGCGGATTTTGTGGTGTGGTTTTGTTATGCCTTTTGTTAAGTCTATTAATCGGCGGAGAAAGGCACGTCCAGAAGGTATGATATAACAGCAGAAATTGAGTGTCCCTATAATTGATTGAAGTTCTTGAAGTGTGATCTTCTTTTTGGTTCGGTTGTGTTCGATGAGGGATAAGCAATTTGTTATCTTGTCACTAGGTAGACGGGCTTCGTATGCGACAGAGTCCAGCTCAATACCCGCGAAGGAGATAGTGGTAGCCGGTTTTGTCGTTTTTTCTTTGGACATGGGGATTCCTAAATCATTGCACGTGTCGAGGAATTTGGATAAGTGTTCTTCGCATGAGTCTTTTGTGTTGGCTGCTATGAAGAAATCATCTAGAAGGTGGATGATATGAGGTATGGCCAGTTTTTCTTTTGCTATCCATTCCACAGATGAGCTGAATATTTCGAATAATTGGCATGAGCAGGAGAGGCCAAACGGTAGGCATTTGTCGAAGTACATTTTGCCTGCGGAAGAGAATCCAAGTAGAAAGCGGTAGTCTGGGTGGATCGGGAGTAGGCGAAAGGCGCTTTCTATGTCGGTTTTTGCCATGAAACAACCTGGACCTAATGTTTTTATAATCGATATGGCGTCATTCACTGAGCTGTATTGCACGGTTGAATTTTCTCGGNTGAGCTATATGTATTGTCCTGGCATCGGCCCGAGTACCGAATACATTAGGTGGGTTAGAATCTTATATAGTTGGTGAAGGCTGAGGAGCGCCATCTTCCCAGTATGCGTATTTGTTCAGTGGACATGCCGCATTTTGCTGCGAGAGTGGCCCCTCCGATGCGGAAGCTGTGGGACTTTGTTAAGGTTGTATCCATCCCCGCGGCTTGGAGGCAATGTTTGAGAGTGTCCGTGAAGTGGTGTCTTGTGACTAGTGAGCCATCTTGTTGCAGAAAGAGCTCGCTGTGAGAGCTTTGCGGGCGCATGTGTAGGTAGGCGGCCAGGTGCTCTACTGGGCATATTGCAGGATTTTGTCTGAAGAGAGTTACTTGGTGGTTGGATGTGTTGGACGAGTGCTTGAAGGATGGTAAAGTGATGATAATGGTTCCTTTTTGGAGGTCCAGATTGACGTACTGTATGCGTATGGTATGGTTGTTATCTTTGGAACCGCCGGTGATTTCGCTGATGCGGAAGAGGCCGAAGAAAGCTGTGGTGAACATGGCTCGAAAGAGACAGGCCTGGTATTGTGAGAAGGGGTGCTGTGACGCTGTTTGTAAAAGATGGCGCAGTTGCTCCAAAGTGAGAGGGCGCCTATCGTCTATTGTTGGTTGGAGTCGGCTGAGGCCGCGTAGTGTCTGCCTGACGATGAATGAACTGGTAGGGTCATCATAGCCTCTAATTTTGTATTTGTAGCTAAGTGCCGACATTAGAGTTTTTATGGAAGAAGGCTTGTATTTCTTGGCCAAGCTTTGAGCGAAGAGAGCTGTAATTGACGGTGACGTGGGAAATGCAGGTTGACCTATTTCTGCAGCAAACTGGTCCAGGAGAGGTTCGATTTTCATGTACGTCCTTTGGGTACTGGGGGCAAGTGCTGCTTTTAGTGTGTCGTTGAGCATTAGATGAAGGCGTTTGGTAGCCATTGGGCCGGGATCTGCGTGGGGTATGGCAGTGCCTGCGGGGAGGCTTGGTGGAACTTCTGTAAGTTAAGACGAGAGAGAGCGTCAGCAGATGTATTTTTGACACCTGGTATATGGACAGAGCGGAAGGCAATGTTGTGACGCATGGAGGTGAGGATCAATTTCCTAAGTAATGTGAGAAGGAGTGGGTCGGTGGTGGAACATTTGTTGAGAATGTATACCAAGGCTTCGTTGTCGGAGTGAATGGTCACTTTTTTGTTGGTGAATTTCTTGCTCCAGACAAGGAACGCAGCGAGGATGGGGTAGAATTCTAGTGTGGTAATGTTCAGTTGTTTTTGCTGGGGCGTCCAAGGGCCGTAGAACCATTCGTTATCGCTGATTGCTCCGTAGCCGAAGGTGGTGGATGAATCCGTGTAAAGTTGTAAGCTAGTGTTGCTGTCCCAACCCTCGCTGTGTATGAGAGCCTTGCCGTTGAAGTTGCGTAGGAAATTGTCCCACATGAGTAAGTCTGAGCGTGCCTCTTTGTTGAGGCGGATTTTGTGGTGTGGTTTTGTTATGCCTTTTGTTAAGTCTATTAATCGGCGGAGAAAGGCACGTCCAGAAGGTATGATATAACAGCAGAAATTGAGTGTCCCTATAATTGATTGAAGTTCTTGAAGTGTGATCTTCTTTTTGGTTCGGTTGTGTTCAATGAGGGATAAGCAATTTGTTATCTTGTCACCAGGTAGACGAGCTTCGTATGCGACAGAGTCCAGCTCGATACCCGCGAAGGAGATAGTGGTAGCCGGTTTTGTCGTTTTTTCTTTGGACATGGGGATTCCTAAATCATTGCACGTGTCGAGGAATTTGGATAAGTGTTCTTCGCATGAGTCTTTTGTGTTGGCTGCTATGAAGAAATCATCTAGGAGGTGGATGATATGAGGTATGGCCAGTTTTTCTTTTGCTATCCATTCCACGGATGAGCTGAATATTTCGAATAATTGGCATGAGCAGGAGAGGCCAAAAGGTAGGCATTTGTCGAAGTACATTTTGCCTGCGGAAGAGAATCCAAGTAGAAAGCGGTAGTCTGGGTGGATCGGGAGTAGGCGAAAGGCGCTCTCTATGTCGGTTTTTGCCATGAAACAACCTGGACCTAATGTTTTTATAATCGATATGGCGTCATTCACTGAGCTGTATTGCACGGTTGAATTTTCTCGACTGATGCCATCGTTGACTGACAGATTCGGGGGGTGAGACAGGTGGTGGATAAATCTGTATTTGCCAGGTGTTTTCTTGGGAACGATGCCTACTGGGGAAATGGTGTAGTGTCTATAAGGTGGTTTGGTGAAAGGGCCGGCTAACCGGTTGGCATTTAGTTCTGATTGTATTCTCTCCGCCAGCACATTAGGGAAATCGTAGGTGGATTTGAGATTTTTAAGTGTGGATGGTGGTAGTGGGCCCTGAAAAGGTATCTTGAAGCCGTTAACGAATCCGTCTATTAGAAATGTGCGGGTTTCTTGCTGATAGCCGTCGAGTGCAAGGTTGAGTTTGGGGGCATGGATGGGTGTAACGATGTCATCGGACAGGGACGAACCATGTGAATTGTCTCTGATAAGGGACTGCAGTGTCTTATCGCCTGCGGTTGAATTGTAGGGGACGCTTGTAGGGTTGAAATCTCTGCGTGGCTCTGTGGTTGTTGGTGCCTGAGTGCCCCTGAGCTGCTTGTTGTTTTGGGCATGCGTTGGCTGGGTGGGAGGCGTTGCAAATGGAGCACCTGTGTCCGTAGTGGCATGCCTTGGCATCGCAGAAGATGCCTTTGTTCCAGCGAAAGCAGGTTTTGGATTGGCGAAAGGGCTGTTCCTGGGCTTTTTGGATAAAGGTGATTTCGGCCAGTAGCACTGCGTCGGGGACCTCCCACTTGTATCCCATGGACTTAAAGTTGGCCCGGAAGCGTTCGTCGTAGGATAGCCAGAGGGAGCCCTTGTTTGCGTACATCTCGACTATGCGATTATTGTATTGTAGAAGGTTGAGTGACTGCTGAGGAAATTTTTGTATGTAAATGGCCGAAAAAATATTAAAAGCTACTTGCCATTGTGTGAAGGTTAGTGGTGATCTCTTTTTTGTGACAGGGGCCAAAATGAGGGTCAGGTTGCCTTCCGCGTCTGTCTTCTTGCGTTGGACGAATTGCTCGTCCTCCACGATGTCGAAGGGTGTCAAAGTGTTTGAAGTGTGGGGTAGCAAATCTCGAAGCGAAACGTATTCATTGTCCCATATCTTTTGTCGCAAGGTTCTAGACACATGCTGGTCCAAGGGGGAGTAAGGTATATTGTGCCTACCTTGTTGAGTTTGACCTGTTGGCCCAAGGGGCCATCCTGTGTTGGTTGGGTGTCCTGTAGCCTGTTCCCCTGTGACATGGCTTGGCGTTGGTGTGGTGAATTGGCCTGTCTGGGTGGGGGGGCCCGTGTACCCCCAATTATGGAAGGTTGTGTGGCCTTGGCTGACAGTTTGAGTGGCAGTGGCGTCGTTGTGCTGAAAGGTTGATGCGCTCCCTGAGGCAATGGCTATGGCTGGTGTTTGGTGTGTCAACGTTTGCGGGCCTAGGTCCGTATACCTAGGCACCGAGAGTCCAGATTCTGTGGGTATGGTGCCCACGGAGGTCACCATAGTGGGGATACCTGGGGGGGTGGGATCCATGACCTGAAATTAGAAAGTTAGGGTGACTCCCTGAGCAGAGAATGAAGCCCTGCCAGCTTAAAAGTTGGACGAATGAGGTTGGTAGTGCGTAGTAGAGTCAACGTTTCCATGGTTGGGGGACGTGGTGCAAACAGAGCGGATTGTGTGATGTTGACTTGTATCTGGTGCTTGGGCTAGTTCACTTGGCCGTGCCTTGATCTGATATGCTTGATTGTGTGGGAAAAAGGCGTAGTGGGTTGTGGGTACGTAACTTGATTTTAATTTGATGTTCGATTGGGTTCGTCCTAAAATGGAATGGACTTAATGGTGGGTGAACGGCTGACGTGGTGTGATTTGGGGCTGTGCATGTGAAACGTAAACTTGGAAAATTCTTGCCCTTGTGCTTGAAGCCTGGTTGATAGGGTTATTGCTGATATTCTTAGCTTGATAACTAAACCTAGCCTTGACTTGATGTGCTTGTTACTTGG